GCCCTTACTTCAGCTTCTCTCGCAGCTGCACGCTCCTCACGCTCCCGGCGCTTAATGTCCACTCGCTGATTACGCTCGTCAACCGACCGCGCTGGTCTACGCCCTTTCAACACCTCCTCCACAGCCCTGCGCTCGGTAATCGCCTGTCGCCTGTCGCCCATCATGAGCCGCCTTCGGCGCTCCTCCACGTCGATAAATCGACCGCCGACGTCGACGAAGTGGACGGGCACGCGGCCCTCCCGGACGACCCTCTGCACCTTCTCCCGAGGCGACTTGATCGTGGGTGTGTCCTTGAAGCGTGGCATGAAACGCGGGCTCGTCTTGAGGGCTTCCGCCGCGTCCGCGTGTCGTTCCGCGACGCGCTTCGCGTGCTGCAGTGAGCCGGGAAGGATGGCGTCCTGGAAAGAGTTATATAAAGGATCAACATAGATGGGGCGCAGAACTTGCCTTTCCGTCCTCGGTTACCTCCCAGAATTGGCGCTGGAAGCGCTGGCGGGCAGCGTCACGATTTTCGTCCTGCTCGAGGAGATCCGCAGCATGCGTGTCGGCGCGATTCATGTCCGGTTCAGGCTTGACACCGAGGAGCATCTCCATACCCCAGCGAAAACCAGTTTGCAGACGTTTGTCCTGGTAGGCGCGTCAGCAATGTGGAGACAGACATTAGGACAACCATAAAGGGGTCAGATGGGGTTGAAATCGATTTAACCAGACTCCGGCGATGTAAGGGCACCGGATTGTCTTACGATTTCGCGAATGAATGTATGGTCTCATCCCGTACGCGAAAAAAAGAAGGAATGATAACCCACATTCTAATGGAGAAAGAGGCGAGAGACGTTCAGTGAGAGGCGGGGTGTGAGCTAGTCGGAGCGAATACCTAGACCGATAAAAGAGTCAGAAGGAGCACATAGGACAGTGATGTTAAGAGTTCAGAAAAAAACAGAATTTGTAACCATGTAGGTGTCTTAAAGACTAATCGATTTTTGTATCATCGTTTGGGAGGCACGGTGGCCGAAGGAAACGGGAGAGATACACACCTTTACAAATGATTCCTCCAGGCCCTTGAGCCGCAGTATTGCCTGAACGCGCTTCAGACTGAGGTGGTATCGTTGAGAGAGCGAGCGAATGTTGTTTGTCTCGGGGTCGATCATGTAGTCGGCATATATGCGCGACCGTACCGCATCAGATAGCGGTGTCGGTGGTTTGAACGACGGATTCATAGGAAAGGGCTGTAAAAAAAAAACATGTCAGTGATGAGTAAAACACGACAAGGAAGACGAAGAACAGACTGCATCGGGAGTGGCGCTTATCCAATTTCGTGGCTTTGCGATTCTCAACTTTTCGTTGACCTTGAGGAACGCCTTGAAAGTTTTTACGCTGGCGGCGCCTCCCTCCTCCTCCTTCTCGTCGTCTTCATCTGCATCCTCATCTTTTGAAGGGCGGGAAGTGTTGCGGACTTGTCGGTGTCGGGGACTGGAGGACGAGATGCACCGCCGAGTTGGTGGGGGACAGAGTGGGCGGAAACATCTCGCTCTGGACAACATCGAAAAAAAAAGTGTGCGACAGGCTTTGATGGCAAACATTAGCAAATAACTGTTTTAATAATAAATTAAATAAATAAATAATCCGGTCAAAGCGCTCGATACCAAGCAGAAACTGCAGCCGGAATCGTTGACTGTAACCTCCCTAGTCAACAGCTCGTGTCCAGAGCTGTTCATGAATAGCATCTAGAATTTGCATGCACCATCGTTTGCGCCTCATCCTCGGATCCCTAACTCGCTCTCATACCACCATGTCTTCCCGCCCATTCGCGTCGGAACGCCAGCTCGCTCTCTCTGCTGTGCGCCGCGCGTGCGCCCTCACGTCCTCCGTGTTCAACAAGCTTGTGAAGAACGAAACCCTGACAAAGGGAGACAAGTCTCCCGTCACCGGTATTCGTCGCTCTTTATATATATTCGCTCTGCGGCTAATCCGTGCGCGCAGTGGGCGACTACGCCGCACAGGCGCTGATAAGCGTCATGCTGAAGAATGCGTTCCCGGCCGATCCCATCGTCGGGGAGGAGGACGCAGCCGAGTTGCGTGCGGAGGAGGGGAAGGTGCTCCGGGAGCGGATCATCGAGCTCGCTAACGAGGCCCTGGTCGCGCCCCTCGTCGAGGGCGACGACGCCACGTGGGGCATTGGGCCCGGCCAGGCAAAGACGACCGCGGAACTTTTGGACGCGATCGATAGAGGCAATCACGACGGCGGGAGGACCGGACGTGCGTGCACGGTCCGCTCGTACTCCCCTGCGCTAATTGGACTGCGCATACAGGCATGTGGACGATAGATCCCATCGATGGGACCAAGGGCTTCCTGCGCGGGGAACAGTATGCGGTATGTGTCGCCCTCCTCGTCGATGCGCAAGTGCAGCTCGGAATCATTGGATGCCCCAATCTCCCCGTGGACGCGTCAAAGCCGGAGGGCGAGCGTGGATGCATTTTTGTCGCCGTGCGAGGCCAGGGCTGCCAACAGGTATCTATGTCTCGATTTTATTATTCGCAGGAATTCACACATCCATCCAGATCCCCCTCAGCGGCCTAACCGAAATCACGCTCAGCATGCCCGCATTCACCCCGTCGTCGCTAAACTTCCTCGAGTCGGTGGAGGCTCTGCATTCCTCGCACTCGACCAGCGACACCATCTCGTCCATCCTCGGCGTCACGCGCCCTCCGTTGCGCATGGACAGCCAAGCAAAGTACGGCTGCCTCGCACGCGGAGACGGCGGGCTTTACCTGCGCATGCCCACCGGTGTCGGTTATCGCGAGAAAATATGGGTCCGTCGATTTTTCCACTAGCCGTGCTTTCAACCTTTTAATGTTCGATGCAGGATCATGCCCCTGGCGCCCTCCTGGTGGAAGAGGCAGGCGGAATAGTGACAGACTCGCGCGGGCTACCTCTCGACTTTGGACTTGGAAGGACTTTGGGCGAGAATTTCGGGGTGGTCGCAGCTGGGAAGGAAGTGCACGCCGCGGTGCTTGATGCCGTGCAACAGGCGACCAGTGCTAAGGCGAAAGTTTAACGCGGAGGGAGTGTTAATTAAATAATTGTACAACCGGACGCGATGTATAAAAGTTGTAACAGACGCGCTAAATTATACTCGCGCGGCATGCCTATTTTTTCGCCTTTTTCTTGGGCGTTTTAGAACTCGAGTTCGAGGTCGCGTCCTCTTCGCTCTTTTTGGCTTTCTTCTTCTCCTTCTTCCGCTTTTTCTTTTTCTCGGCTTCATCGTCGTCTTCCGTTGGAGCTGAACCAGCTTCTTCGTCTCCAAACCCTACTCCAGATGAGTGGTTGTCATTGGAGACTATGAAAAACGCACCAGCAAAAGGATCAATAGCGGGTCTACGGCGTTTGCCCCCTGCCGCCGCCACTGGCTCCTCCACGATTTCCTTCGCCTTGCCTTTGCCCTTCCCGGACGACGGCACGGGCGGGGCATCCTCATCTCCATCAATAATCTCCAACTCCTCCTCGGACGAGCTGACGTCCCCCCGCGCACGCTGCGCAGCCTCGTACTCCGCACGGTCCACCATCTTGCTCGTCACCTTAACGGGGACGAAGGTCGACGGCTCCGGGGGCTGCGACGCCGCATCGGCCGACGCGCCGATCGTGGACTGCGTTATCGCGTGCTTGATGAACCGCGCGGCGGCCGCCTTGTCAAGCGGGGCGCGGGCTAGATACACGCGTAAGTGACGGGCACAGGCACGGAGGTATTTGGAGGGACGCACGCGTCTCGGGGTTCTCCGCGGACGAGATCTTGTCGAAGTAGCGCCGGACGCGGGTCTGCGAGGGTCGTGGCTAGTCAGACCTCAGGGCGTGAAAAACGAGGAGCGAGCGCACCAGCTCTCCGATGACCGGATGGGATTTCGGGTCGATGCCCTTGGATTTTAGGTAGACTGGTTGCGAATTAATAATCGTTCGCGTCCTCGCACCAGTCAGTGCGTTGCAGACAGACACCCACCGAAGACTAGATCATAGACGAGGTACGGGATAAGGGTCTGCAGCTTCGCTTGCTCGATCGGGGCGAGCGCGACGGTGCTTTCTGGGAGGGTCTGCGCGAAGAGGGGAGACAGGGTCGATTCAAGCGTGGAGAGGGACGCAGTCAGAGAGTCGAGTTTGCTTTTTAATTTCGTAGTTTCGGTCGTCATCGCAGGCAGAACACAAGCGACTTGGGAGTCGAGAGGAAAATCAAGAGGAAGAAGGGTATGAAGGCTGCTGCCAAGTATGGACAAACAACACGGCTTTCCTGTTGACCACAACAAGCAAGACAACAAGACCGCAACGCCAATGCAACGTTCGACTTTCGAGTTCGTTTCTGCCTGCCAGGAAAAATAACTGAGCCTGGCGTCGAATTTAAATATTTCCAGCAGATCTGGACCAAAAATCACTCCAAACTTCTAACATCATACCGCCGACCTGATCCCGAATATGCTGGGCCAGTCGCTACACAAGTGGCGGTGGCGTGCGACAGAGATGTGGGCTAATTGACTCAGAGCACTCTCTGAACTTGAACACTTCATACCAACAGCTTCCAGCCGGCCGAAAGACCATCTGGAATTACTTCACCAGTTCGGCTTGGGTTCGGCTTTATTGCCCTAGCAGACTGCTGTGTATCCGGCTGGGAAATTATGACGCTCACTTGATCTGAGCCCCCTCTCTACCACTCAAAGCACGGTGGAGCTACCGTACCCTCTCGCCGACGATCATTGTCAACCCCGCTGCGTACGACCGTGGCGATTCTGGTATTTTTTATTTTTCCTGTCTCAGAGCCACTTGAGCGCTTACCTCTGAGATTTTGCCTTCACATTAAATGGCTAACGAGGTGGGGTGACGAAAAAGGAAACTCAATTTCCCAATATGGCAACCGCATTCTCCCACGGCCATTTCGAACAAAAAGCAAACAGAATCAAACCAGCGCTCGAGTCATTTCGAAGCGCGAGTCATCCTAGCACTGGGCACGCAGCAAAAATACTCACGCTGAGGTTTGAACTCAGGACCCCCGCATTGAATGTGCATCCGCGGAATGAATTCCATGAATAGGTAACCGCATAAGAGCGATGCTCTAACCAACTGAGCTACGCGAGCGACATACGGTTGGAAGGGGATCCCCTTTCATGACATCCCCTTGGTAAGGTTAAAGAGCACGCACGAAATATTTTGGGAAATAAATTCCTGGCACAAACGATATGCGAGACTGAGTGAAATCCCCGTCCCCCATCCGACAATTCTCGTACATAACCGCCACATATGTACATATTACCGCAGACACGAGTACCTCGCTGTCTCCGACGCCTAGGTGGAGCGCACACCAAGAAATTCCCAGAGACCAGTGCAGCGATTAAATTGGAAAAGGCAAATCCCGTAACAGGTTCAACTTTCATTCAATTATGGGGTTGAAATCGACACGAAGCGCAATGTGAGGACTTCTAGAATGCTCCGAGACCTGTCGAATCCGCCTGATCGTTAATGGAGCGCCTTGCGGGCCCCGCGGAAGGCGGTGGGGCATATTCTGGAACACATTTGAGAAAACTTGTAGGGAACTGAGGCTATTTGACCTCATCATTAATAGAGCGCCTTCACAAGGATTTCGGTGGAACGACGGCGCCGCGGAAAATATTGAAGTAAACTCAAAGTGAACTTGAAGTACATGTAAGATCGCTGTTAGCGCGCCAGGATTATGCTCGTCAGCAAACGAATTCGATTCCAAAAGCTACAACAAATTGAACGTTGTCGAGTTGTTCTCGAGACGCCGTGGAGGAAATAATTGATTGGCCTAGTACTTCAATGGACCTGGGGAAAGTACTAGTAGTATACACCAGTATATACCATGCCAATCACGGTTTTCGCCGCGGGGAACGCGTGAGAACACCAGCATCTGCTCCTACTCTATTCTTGTGGTGGCGGACACTTGGTTGAACGCGAATTCTAGGTGGGTACTACTCTCACCGACAAAGTCCGACTCCGATCAATCCTGTTTTGGACTTAGACCAAACTTCCACCATCTTCCTTTCCTCTGCGGTGCTAGACACAGTTCAGTTGAACCAGAACTTCTGCCTCCAAAAGCCATGAACAGCATCGCAATTCTGCCTCTGCACGGGCCAGTACTCTGAACGACGCCTAATTGCGGACAGCCCTCAATGGCCGCAGCTTCCCGCGTCGAATCGCCACTGCAGAGAGTTTCTTTGAATCGAAGCACCTCCACATTTTTGCATGTGGTAGGCACTTTAGATGCGCCGCTCCACTGCAGTCATTTGATTCCTGGCCAATGCGCTCGCAAGCTATGTTTGACTCTCAGAATGTTATAAAAGGGATACAACAGTTTCATAGCGAGGTGTGGACTTCCCTTTGAACACTACCTAACTCCACCTCGATGTCCAAGGCCTCGTCCCGATTGACCGAGCACTTCCGCCGCGCTGGATGGCTTCCAGCGAGCGACGCGGAACTCAGAAACTGGGTCAAGCAAGTTGTCGACGAGGTTACCATCGGTAAACGGAGAAGCGCCCCTCTCCTCCCGGTCATCCAGGAGTTTCAGACGTTAATCGAGGAGAATAGCGAGCTGTTCATGGGTTTCAATCAGATGTTTGAACAACAGCCGCCGTCTTCGTTGTTGACTATGGTATGTGCGACTCTGTCTTGGCTGCACTTGTTCGCTCATCTGCATGCAATAAGATACCGGACTACCAAACACTTCTCAAGGTATTGAGAGAGATCCTTGGTTTAATTCCATTTGACTGACTTTTTTTTGCAAGATTTTCAACAAGATCATTCAGGAAGCGCCGTTCTACGGCCCTATTGGGCCGCCGATGTATATGGTCCTCAGCGCGGCGATGAACACCCAGGGGGGGTTCACCACCTTTCTCAACAATCAGCTTAACGCCCAGCTCAAGCGCATGTTCGATGTCTGGGCCACGTTCCTCGATTCCCCCGCTTCCGCCTATGTCCTCACAGCCGAGCCAGGCGGTTGGTTCAGTTCGCCCGCGCTCACGGCTCTGACGGAGAATTTCGACGGCCTGTCGTTCGAGCAGATTTTCGTGAGCGACCCATCAGCCCAATACTGGGGCTACACGTCGTGGGATGACTTCTTCGTCCGCACCTTCCAACCTGGCATCCGCACCCTCCAGGCGTCCGACAACCCCAACATTGTCAACGCCGCGTGCGAGTCGCAGCTGTACAACATCTCGAGCGGCGTCCAGGAGCGCGACACGTTCTGGCTCAAGGGCGAACCGTACTCGCTCCTCGATATGCTCAACCAGGACGAGGTCGCGCCGCAGTTTATGGGCGGCACGGTCTTCCAGGGCTTCCTCTCCGTGACGGGCTATCACCGCTGGCACGCCCCCGTGACGGGCGTCGTGCGCAAGATCGTTCAGATCCCCGGGACGTACTTCTGCCAGTCGCCCGCGACGCTCGGCGAGACAGACAACCCGTACCTGCGCTCCCTCGCGTTCATCACGTCGCTCACGACGCGCATGCTCATGTTCATCGATTCGGACAACCCGCGCATCGGGCTGATGTGCTTCATCGCGGTCGGGATGACGGAGGTGTCGACGTGCGAGGCGACGGTGAAGGAGGGGGACCGGGTTACGCGCGGGGACGAGCTCGGGATGTTCCACTTTGGCGGGTCGACTCATGTGCTGGTCTTCCGCCCCGAGACGAACCTCCAGTTCTTCGATGGCGTCGATAACCCGGGGGATATGGTCGAGGTCCGGGCGGCGATTGCGGGTGTGTCTTGAGATGGGAGAGAAACAAAAAAAAATGCCTTTGCAACTTTGTATTATCTGATGTACATTATGCCTGTTTCGAGTCTCCCCTTCTGCGTGTACTGTAAGTAAAAGCGATTGAAATCTTATGACCAGGTCGTGTCTCGGCAACTCACGCGGGGTGGGTGAAGAGAGAATTTTACCAGTGAGAGAATGAACGAGCGAGCAATCCGCTTGCCCGGGCGTACGGTACGCTGTTTGCAGGAGCAGCCTGCCCTCGGCGTTTAGACCGGCGTCTATCATCGATTGATCGTGTCACGGTCACCTGGTCGCGTCCTTTTCATTCTCAACAACTTTTCTACTGTGCGCCCGCGTCCAGGTTTCCTCAGCCGAGGTTTTGGCGCCCTTTCTCTGCACAGTACTAGCAAGACTCGCAAGACTGGAACCACTGTCCGTTACATGCCGACTTTCTTGGAGTAGTGGTTCTCAAGTGAATAGTTTTCAATTGAATCCGCCGGTTTGCAATTGGTGTGAAGTATCAGTCGGGGCTTCCGAAAAACAGAGCCAAACAGTCTCGAGTTTTCTTCACGGTGCGCACGCACGGCCGCCTCTTCGTGTCCGACTCGGATGGCCCTTCTCGCGCTTCTCCATCCTGGCATCTGCATATTCCCGGCAAGCACGAAAATCCAGACAGCACAAGTATCCTACGTCTACTACAATACTAACTGGTTGCTCCTCCGCCGGTTGACGCGGTGCGGCAATGGTTTGCGTCTTCATGATCTTCATATACTTCCATCTCTGTCACAATAGACTCTGTGTACGTGCCTTCTGCGCTGTCTCTATCCCCGTCTTACGATTTGTCGTTCCGCGTGATAGACTGGAACTGCGTCTCGGGAACGCAGTTTAAGAATCTTGGGTAGCCAAAGTTTTGGCGGTAATTCGAAGGCGACAGTGGCAGAGAGGACGAGGAGAGAGAAATCGAGAGAACGACATCCGGTGTTCAACATTGCTGCCGGCCCCTTAACGTTCAACTTCTCCTTTGAACTCAACGCTCACCATGGGTCAACGGCACCAAATTTTCATCGTCGCTCGTGTGGCTCCTCAAGGCAGCACAGTTTCCCGTTACCGATGCGTTGGAGCCTACCATCACCAATGGTTCGTTCCAACAGCTTTGTGTTCATATCTCTGTTTCTGAAATGCGGTGGGCATAGGTGCTACGGAGAGTACGTGGAACAGTGCGCTTGATAACTACCATGAATGCCGAGATATTGTTTCAAGTATACCTCTTGAGCAATTGAGGAAATTCCTCTATCTGATTCAAGAAGAGGACAACGTGCAAATCGTCAAGGAAGAAATCCGTGCAATTCAGGGGAAATACGGTTCAGGAGATTCGGAGCCAAAGTTCCCCGCAATTCCTTGTCCGTATACGACCTTCTTGCTGGCTTCCGCTTTTTGTATTGACTTAGAGGCGAGTTACCTATACTGTAGGGTTGGTTCCGATGCTAAACACAATAAATTATAGCCTCCGCAGTACTACACCACTAGCGGGGCCTTCAGGTATAGAGTCCTCTCTGCAACGATGGGCAGCACAGAGGGAGGTCAGTATTACCGCGACCATGTGTCATCATTGTGTTGACCGTCGCTTTGGGCAGACAACAACGATGGAATCACGGTTATCGACATCACTGACCCGACAAACCCCTCCTACTGTTTGGTGCGCACCTTTAGGCTATCGGGTCAGGAGCTCGAGGTCACCGTAGAGCAGCGCGTAAGTTACCCAGTACATGTTTCTGTCTCTGCTTCTCCTCTGAAGCACTTCCGTATACTTAGGTCCCTCTCACGGCAGAACAGTATGCGGCAGCATACTCTGTTCCCGCGCACAATATACATGTGCAATCCCTCCGCGACGAGCGTTTGATGACCTTAGATGTGTTGGCAGAGGCGTGGCCAACCGAATATACATCCATGACGACGACCTCCGCGGTTGAAGATGCCGCCCCCGTTTTCTTGCCCAGTCTTGCCGATCTCGCTCTCAAACCCGCGGTTGAGCACAGTCTTCAAACAGGCGAAACAGAAGAACTTGAAGGATTGGTTTGGCACCCGGGAAAAGCGAAACACATGCTATCTATTCTACAGTGCCAGCATCTTTTCCCGGATTCCGGCCTATCGCTGTTAGCCAAGGTCCTTCAGCATGAAGCCGGATCCGACAAAATCTCTCCAGATCTTTCTAGTCTCTCCTTATCTGGCAGCCAGGTCGTTGCTCTTCTGACGTTGTTGAAGAGGGAAGATGTTGAAATTCTAGACCTTTCCCACAACCATAACATTACCATTGACGGTCTGCGTCAAGTTCTCGCTACTTCAACCAAGCTTCGGCGGCTCGTACTTCTG